AGGGCCCCCCCGCCCCGTCCAGCTGCGGCAGCAGTAAGTGGGGCTGTGGCGGGCCGGGCTGGGAGGGGGCCGGCGCGGTCCGTCGCGTCCCCTCCGCCCTGCCGGCCCCGAGCTGGCCTCAGCCGGGCCTGAGCAGGGATCCCTGCTCTCGGGAACGGGGTTCGCTTGGGACGACAGCTGCGCTGCGCAGCCGGCCGTGGCTGTAGCGGGGTCACGTCTCTCCTGTCCTCGGGGCCTTCCTGCGCTCTATCCCGGTCACCTAACGTGGGCAGAAGCGGGCTGGAAGCCTGGCGGCGCGGGGAGCTGGGGACGCGTACTCCGAGCAGGTGCTTCGCAGGGCTCGTGGTGCGTGACCTGCGGGCTGCTCCCCTCCGCTGCCCTGCAGAAGGCTTCCTCAGCGGGACAGCGGGCGCGTGCAGTCATCCCCCAGGAGGTGCAGGGGGCTCGGTACGGAGCGTGGAGTCAGTGCCGTAGAATAAGGAAGCGTAGTTGCCTTTTGCAGTGTCTGCAATGTGTTAGAGTAATATCAGAATTCAAAGGTTTTGTCTCTTTTTTGTATGTAGAGTGTTTTTGCCCAACGACCTCAGGATTTATACTGACAGCCGAAGGGGGCTTGTGAATTCCGAACTTGTGCATATCAAGGTAATAATCGTTTGCTGTCTGCTATACCTTTGAAGTCTGTGAGTACAGAAGTGCTTTAAGTAGTGCTTCTGAGGAAACCTGCCTGTTAAAAAGCTTAGATTGGCTTCTACTAGAGTACTCTGCAGACTCTGTATTCATCTCTGACACATCAGTAGTAGAAGCTTTCTCAGGGGAACAAAAACGTTCCCTGAAAATTTCAGGTAATGAAAGCAGTAACGTTCAAACACAGCAGTGGTTGATCGCGCTCTACCTGCCCGACACCTGCAGCAGCGTGACTGCGACGCTCTGCCTGTGAAAGCAGGCTCCCCTGCTCGCTGCGGGGCACGTGCGGCTCACGTTCGGCCTAGCGCACGGCCTGTTGCAGTGCTCCAGGAGCTCCCTGCTTGGGGGTGCTTCCATCCAAGCAGTAATTCTCCCAATAGCAGGACAACTGTAGGAGGCGGTCCTTTCTGGAGATGAGCTCACCCGGGTCTGGAAGTCTGCTGGGTTGGTATGCAAGTCTGTTTTGTGAGAGAGGGCAATCTTACATGCCTAATGCAGGGCCCTGCCCTGCCACAGCAACTGAGGAGAAGCTCTCAGGCGTCAGCTTGTGTCTGTGGTGTGATGGACACTGGACTAGGTGCTGGAGTAGGGACGAGGCCAGTCTTTTCCAGAGTCCAGAGAGCACATATCCCTCAGGTCTTGCCAGGAGTTTCTGCGAAAGAGCAGAGAATGTCGCGGCAGGTGGGTTGTTTGCTTTCTGGTTGTCCTCCTAAAGCGCAGCCCCTCCCTGGTGAAAAGCAGCCAAGCTTGTGAAAAATCGCAAGGGCAGCGTTTGTTTGGTTGTCTGTGGTTAATACAGAGCTAAGCTTCTAGATCCGCCTCCGAGGCACTGTATGTTGGCCAGCCTAAAGGAAAGCCAGGAGCGCCAGGATTTCACTTGTGTGAAGATTTGCGGTGCTCTAGTGAAGAATGACCTCTGTAGACCACGGGGGACTCGCCCCAGGCAAGGCCTGAGAGCCTCTGCTGCTTGTGTGAGGAGCGTTTCCCTGAGGCCCAAGTGTCTGCAGTGGTGGGGTGGGTATCTGTAGCTCTTCTGACAGACGGCCAGCTCCAGCGGGATGATCTCAGGGCGGTTGCGCGTCACCCCTTCAGACAGCTCTGCAGGCACCTGTCTCTTGGCAGAGGGGTAGTTTTAGGGGCTGCCCGAGTAGCCTTGCTTTGGGCTGTCCCCCGAGGAAGGAGGCGCAGCTGTGCTCTAGTGAAAGGTGACCCGAGTAGGTGGTGTGGAGCTGTGGTAACTGGTGGTCCAGCGAGCAGCTGGACTGCTGCAAAATCAGTATCTTGCCTGACGTGTCCTGCTGTAGGCGCGCTGCTGCCGAGGCGGTTTTCCAGGTGAGGTAAAGGCAGGTGGGGAACAGGCAGCCAGCTTGCCCGCTCTGTGGCGCAGGAGATGAGGGGTGTGCAGACACTGCGGGCCCAGCCTTGAACAGGCTCTAACTGGTGCTCCAGTTGAAGTGATCCCCCATCTCGTGTTGAAGCGGTCTGTGGGTGCCGGCTGCCTCTGAGAGCCGCGGTTACTGCGAGACCAATAGCTGTTGCCCGGCTAATGCGGCTTTTGGGAGGAGAGCCATGCCGAGGGCGTGCATTGGCTCGCACCCCACCACAGGGAGGGCCGACGTGGCTGCAAAGGATGCTAGTGAGCTGACGAAGGGACAAAGACCGTAAGGTGGTCAGTGAAGGTTTGCACTGTGTCGGTGTGTTCCCAGAGGAACCTGTGGTGCCGCACTTTTCCCCACGTGCTTTGTGCGTAGCTCCTGGGAGCGTGCTCTTTGCAGGGACGAGGGAACGCAGCGCAGGCGGCAGCGAGGTCTGGTGCTGCAGCGCTGTCCGGTTCTCTAGGGACGAGGCACTAAGCCGTTAGCAGCCATCATGCCATCGATTCATCTTTATCCTTTTCAGCGCGATTGCTTCTATGAAGGCTATGTGGAAGGTTTCCCGGGTTCCCTTGTGGCACTTAGCACCTGCTCTGGACTGAGGTAAATCTGTCGCCTTTGCGTGCGGGACGAGCATAAGCCAGGGTGCCGTGCGCTGTCCGCGTTGGTTGTCCGAAGGTAGCGAAGGAGCGGCCGCTGCCGCTTCGTGCCTGTGTTTTGCAGTGGGATTCTGCAGCTAGCGAATGCCACCTACGGCATTGAGCCTCTGGATGCTGCACCGGGATATCAGCATCTCGTTTATCCAGTGTGGAACGAAAATGTCGAGAATCAGCTCTTTGTAGAAAACAGCTCTCTTGCACAGCCTCAGGAGATTTCGCAGAAGCTGAATGCCGGAACGCAAGTGAGTTCAGTGTGTAGCAGTGTTGCGTTTTGTTTTCTGTGGAATCGGGCATCAGGCTCGTGAGAAAGTGGTGCGGACGTGGGAAATCCCTAGCCAAAGGGTGCCTCCTGCCGTGAGGTTGCCTGTTGTTTCTGGACGTTTGAGCAAAGCTGCTAGCGTAGCCCCTGGGTTTATTCAGGCCATCAGGTGCCAAAGGGCTTTGTATCTTATCTGCGCAAAGAATGACATCTCTGCGCTGCCCGTGACAAGTAGAAGCTGTGAGGGTGGTCGAAGGACAGAGCACGGCCTCAGCCTGCACTGGGGGGGCTGGGGATTTCTGGGCAGCAGTTAGCACGCACGGACGCGACCGTGTGTGCTTTCTAACGAGGTGGAAGAGACCCTCTCGAGAGAGGGGGCAAAGACGTAGCCTTTGCTAGAAACTACCGGGTGGCACAGAAACACCAGGATTGTGAAGTATTAGGAGAGCAGTTGGCGTGGCAGTCGTGCAGCGCACGTTACTTCCGTGCAGCTAGTGTCCAGAGGTGGTGTTAGCAGGAAAGAGGGAACGCCTGTCTCTGCAGTCTGTTGGAAATTGGCATCTTGTTCTGTGGGCCAGGAGCCTTGCCACGACGTCTGTCGCTAGAGATGCGGCCCGATTCTGTGGCTGATCGTGACACATCGTGGATGTCGTACGGAATCGTTTCTTAGAAGACCGTGACCGTTTGTTGTGGAGACGTAATTGGTTTTGAAGCACATGAATTGACTGTAGACCTAAGTGTCTCTTTTGCAGAGTTGCTGTAAAGAGAAAAAGTCATCCACTAATGCGTGTGTGGGTTTTATGTTTATTGTTTTTTTCCCTGAAGAGTAAGCAAGCTGTCACTAGATCCCCTCGATATCTGGAAGTGCACGCAATTTTGGACAAGGCTCTGGTAAGTTTTTTTACGCTCTCTAGGGTAAATTGTTTCTTCTAGTAAAAAATGCGATATGCAGCAATGCGGTGGCCTCAGAGAACGTTGATGGCAATTTGCACGGGGCCTGACGGTCTCCGCGAAATGACAAGCAACTCCCTTCCTCTTGGGCATGAATAAGACTATGGTACAGCAGGCACCATAGGCAGCGCTCCCAGAGAGTTCACCTGCGTGCTGAGCGATTCATCGGGACAGTGTTACAGGCCACACGCTATCGCCTCGCAGTGATGTGTTCCTGTGCTTGTTTCAGTATGACTACATGGGTGCTGACAGGGATGCTGTGACAGACAAGATAGTGCAGCTTTTCAGCTATGTGAACAGTGTAAGTTGCTTTTGGTTGCGTTCAAAATGTAGGTGCTCTGTCGTAGCGGCATGGACAAGGCCCCCTAGCCAAAGCAAGCTGGAGGCTGCGGAGGAGCTGGGTTCTCTGGAACATCTGTTTTGTCCATGTTTTTCCAGATGTTTACTCGCCTTAATCTTACGATAGTATTGACTTCCCTGGAGTTTTGGACAGAAAATAATAAAATCCCTACCACGGGAGATGCTGAGGAGTTACTGCGGACATTTTTGCAGTGGAAAAATACGCATCGCGTCTTGCGGCTACAGGACATAACGTACCTATTTGTGTAAGAGAAGCACGGCTATATTAGGTAGTCGGGGAACAACAGGGATAGGAAGCTGTCGAGGTAATGTACAGCAGCATATGCGTGACCCGGAGCCCGTTCTGTTCCGCAGTTACAGGGAGCAGCCCCGTTACGTAGGGGCGGTTTCGGCGAGGAGGCTGTGTCTCAAGAACTATGCTGGAGGGGTTGCCTTGGTACGGTACCGTTGAACCTGTCTCTTTGAACCGATAACATGCTCTGTGTTTGGGGGAAGTGTTGGCCTTAGCCTAAAGAGGTAAGCCCCACACCTACTGTCACGACTAAGAACTCCCTGGCAGAAGAGACAGCGCAGCCCTTTGCGGTAGGACCGGAGGGGGCGATCGCAAGATGGGCAGATGCGGAGCGACCTCTGTGCTATACGGCAGAGATGCCGTGAGCGAGGAGCGCGGAGCGGCCAGCTCCTTGTCACGTGCGGTCCTCTGCTGCAGGCCGCCTCTGAGGCTATTTGTGCAGGACCTCTGAGGCCTCACGGCTGCTGCGGCGTTTGCCCGCAGCTCCTGCTGAGCGCTGTCGCGGCTAGGTCCTCTGCCCAGAAATGTCCGAGCAGGGGTTGGAGTCAGACGCAGTCGCGGTCTTCCTAGCTTCCCGCTCGCTCTGACGTGAAGAGCGCCAGTCCCGAAACGGTGGGGCGTGCACTCTGTCCGTCTGGCCTCTTTGTCGCCAGATGAGCCCCTGAGAGCCCTACAGGAGGAAAGGAGAGCCCTGCGTGCAGAAACGACTGAAGTCTTAGGTCTGCCCTTGTTGCCATTGTAGTACCGCAGAGCTATGACCCTGGAGACGTTTTCGGTGATCCTTGCGCAGCTGCTGGGGCTGAGCCTGGGAATAGGCTACGACGATTCCAGGAGTTGTCGCTGCGCGGGAGCCACCTGCTTAATGCAGAGCAACGCGGCGTAAGACTTTCTCCCTGACTTTCATTGCCCGTGCGGTTTGGTGAGGTATGAGGCCCCGGGAGCGACGTAGGGTCGGAAAGCGTGCGCTCCTGCCCCGTATCGGGCGTGCAGTAAGCGTCACAGAAGCTCTGCCTGCGAGTGGCAGAGCAGGTTAAAAGTACAGTAGCGTGCAGAGACCGGCAGGTCCGGATAGCAGCCAGCTTCCTCTGGCCGCACCAGCGGAAAGCCTCTGGTGTCTGGGGGCGCGAGGGAACGCGTGTTCCCTGAAGCATAGATCATTTGTACGGTAGTGTTTTTCTGTGACTTTCAGGCGCTCGACTGGTACAAAAGCCTTCAGCAGCTGCAGCGTAAGAGACTTTGTGCGTTTTCTCACTGCTGGAGAAGGGCAATGTCTGTGGAATAAGCCAGCTATGGACCTCTCATATAAAGCTCCCGTGTGCGGCAACAAAGTGGTGGAGCCAGGAGAGGCTTGTGACTGTGGTTCAGCCGAGGTGAGTTGTTGAGCCTGGGCATGGGAAGAAAGAATTAGGCTGCGTGCCCAAGGGGGCAAGAAATATCCAGAGGAGAGGTGGGAATTGCTCCTGTACTGACAAGAGCTCTGTGCAGGGCAGAGAGGGCCAGCCAGGGGCCTCGCGGTGCCGTAAGGAAGCGCGAGTGCTCTGCGCGCGCTGGGCCACGGTTGCAGTTGCGTGCGAAGTGGCTGTCAAAGAGGATGTCCATTTGCATTGCTCCCAACAGCTGGATGGTGTGACCTCATAACCAGCTTTAGCAGTAAAGAGCAGTTGCCCCCGTCCCTCCCTCCCTCCCTCCCGCTTCAGGGAACGACCTGAAGGGGTTCTGGAGAGATGATGGGCAGGGAAGCAGTCCAATTTGTGACGCTGCCGGTCTCGTTCGGCGACCGGTACCTTGGCCAAATGGGTGAGCGGTTACGACACGAGGAGGAACGGCGCAACTGCCCGTTACTGAGAAGGCTGGGGCACAGTTATGCAGATCTTACGGGTTGTTGACAGTTTGGGAGCTAATGTGGAGTCAATGGAGAAAACAGAATTTAGGACCAGTACTCTGGGTGCCACAAGAGGGCTTCAGAGGAGATGTTTGCTTTATATGGCAGTGGAAGAGCGCTCTGTCCTCTGTCGGTAGCTGCTTTCCCAGCGAGCGCGTCCACCAGCGCGCTCTGTCTCCACGAGCCGCCACGGCAGCCGCTGAAGCGGTTCCCTTGCAGCCTTGTAACAAAGGGGACCGTCTTCCTCAAGTACCGTGCAGCCGTGCGGACTGAACACGGCGTCCAGGCAGAGGAGCTGCTTTGCAGGTCCCTCACGTGCGCCGTCGATCAGCAGCAGGCAGCGTGTCTGGGACCCGGCTCCCCTCAGGAGGACGGGTCGCTCCCGGAAGGGCTGGCAAAGCTGCCTCTTGTTATCGTCTCACCCGTGAAGGGAGGGCTAGCTAACCTGAAGCTAAATCTGTTAGCTAATCATCTGTGCCGTTAACTTTCAGGAATGTCAGCGTGATCAGTGCTGTACAGTCGGATGCAAAACCAAGAAAGGGGTCGAATGCCTGTCTGGACCGTGCTGCTGGAGATGCCAGGTAAGCTGCATACCAGGAACGGTCGCCCCGCGTTCCCCGAGAAGGGGCCCCACGTGGGCAGCGCTAGCCTCCAGGCCTCAGTGGCAGAATGTGTGTAATGGGACGCGGAAGGTAGAAGTGGGCTGTCCTGCCACCCAACAGAACCGCTTAGACGAGTCTGAGAGATCGTAGTCAGTGGAGCTGCCCGAAACACTGTTGCCCACGAGGCGCCTGTGTCTCAGGATGGTGTTTGTCAGGAGCCGCGACTTTGCCCTTTTTCCAAGCACTGTCAGTCAGCCCTGAGATCAAGGAGACACGTCCCCGAACTCCACGTGCCAGGCTTGTAGCATTTTTCCTGTTGTGACTTCTGACCTGGGGAGCAGGGCCGTTTCACTCCTTTCCGCGACGGTCTGCAGTCTTGTGAAAAAATCTGCCTGGCCCCCCAGCTGCCCGGACGCGGTCGAGCGGAGGGCCGTGTGACGGGAGCGTCGCGGGAGGGGGGCTCGCAGGCCTTTCAGACGGGAGGGACGGCACGAAGGAGCGGAAAGCTGATCGGGAGCGTTGCGTTGTGTCGGACTATCTAGATGCCGACTGTCTTCCGATGTGTAAAAATCCTGGGGGTGCGCCACCGGAGGCGCGACGCCTAAGGAAGCGTGCCTTTGGTCTTGCAAACGTACTGTATGGAGAGAGGCAAGGTTGAGCCAGTATCAGGAGAAGTGAGCGGAGCTGATACTCTTCTCGCTCGGGGAGATCGGGCTCTGCTTTCTGGAAGGTATCCGCTCTAAGCGGTGCGTGTCGCAAGGCAGCCAGCAGTAGCGTTTGCGAAGAGTCGGTAGACCTTTGTTTTGGGGGCTGATGTCCGGCCCGAAATGTCAAATGCTGTGGAATGCCTGAAATCCCTTTCCTGAGACTTGGACTTTTTGGACTTCAGCCAGCCCCGAACTCTGTGGCAGAAACACTGTAACTGGGCAGGTGTGAAGGTGAGACAGTTTTCTGAGGAGTGTCAGTGTCACTGGGGAAAGGATGGGAAAAGAATCGCGGAGGACAGCGCGTGCGTGCGAGTCGGAGGTCTTGTTAGGTGGCGCTCCCGATGCTCTGTAGCTGATCCAAGGTAACGGGACGAGGAAGCGGCAGATCGGGTCTGAGCGCCGTTCTTTTGGAGGGGTCAGTGTGGTTTGTGGCAAAGTTTGAAACGGTACCGGTGGTTCTCCCTAGATCTGGCGTCATCTGGAAAGGCAGTACTCGCTTTGTGCCTAGCCAGTTGTAATCCTTTGCGGGTGTGAGCGGGTAACGTGCGTAGCTCCTTGTGTTCTGCCTCTTTCCCCTAGTTTGTGAGAAGAGGTACCTTATGTCGAACCAGCCCTGAGGATGAGTGCGAGTTGACAGAGTATTGCAACGGCACCTCTGGGCAGTGCACCCCGAACTTCTGGGTCATGGACGGGCATCCCTGCAACAAGAGAACTGCCTTTTGTTACAAAGGAGTTTGCCAGACGGCCGACAAGCAGTGTCAGAAGATCTTTGGGAAAGGTAACGGTGACGAACGGTCGCGGGGGGACGATCCCGGAGCGGGGAGGTAGCTACGCACGTGTGCCTGAGCTACGGCACGAAACCATCGCCCGGGGGAAGCCTGGCCCTGACAGAAGCCCGGGTCGCGCGTGCGCGAGAAGGAAAAGGAGGTGCGGAGGAAAGCAGGGAAGCGGGTGTTGAGAAGTCCGTTAATCCGCGAGCTGTCACAGCGCGGGGACTGGCCGAAAAGCATATAAGAAAGAGAAGTCCGTTAATGTACGGTGAGATGCAGCGCTTGGCCGGTGGCCCAGTCCCAGTTATAGCTCAGGCGCAAGTGTCCCAGGCACCTGGAGTAATGACTGGTAGGGAGCGTACGCCTCGTGACCGTAGGGTGTAACGTGCGTGCAGGCGTTCGTTTGTAGCGCAGATGGCGTTTGGGACGCTGTGTACGTGAAGGACCGGGACGTAGTACAAACACGTGGCAGGAGCGGGCACCGGATGCCCGCGGCACGTGGGTCGCGACTGCCTAGCGGCGCGTGCCTTCCCGTCTGGCTGGGCGAGAGCATGTTGGGGAGCCACAGGGAGCGGACGGGCGTGGTCTCTGGGATGAGAAGCCTAGCAATGTCCCGGAAGGCCTTGCGGCTGCTTTGGGAAAAGCCCGGCTTTCTCCAAATTGCAGTGAAGTTTCTTTGCGTGCTCTGGTGAGGATGTGAAGCGAGTGGAGTAACGTGTAGGAGCAGTTTGTGCTGAGCGGGCGGGTGAAAGCTGTATTCTCTGGGGTCTTGCGCAGCCACGGTCCCGAGGGCGCGGGAGAGAACGGAGCGCCTGCGGCTTGGCCAAGGCGCAGGCATACCGCGTGGCCAAAGTCGTGGCTCGTGTGCCTATGTGGGGACGCTCTGGAGAGACGGTATGTGACAGACTGTGTTTGCAGGTGCCAAAAATGGGCCCCCGGCCTGTTATGAAGAAATTAACGGCCAAAGGGACAGAATGGGACACTGTGGCTCGGATCCGAGTGGCTACCGGAGTTGCGCGTGGAAGTAAGTAAGTTAGGAAGGAGCGGTGCTGCAGTCCCCGCGCAGGCTGCAGAAGAGCAGGTGACCCTCCGCGCCGAGGTGTGGGGCGAAACAGCAGCGGAGGGCATTTCTGGACTCTGCTGCTCAGGGGCAGAGGAGTGAAGCGTGCTGTTCTGGAGGTGGGGGGGGTGGGAATCTCTGCTTGTAAGTGTTCGCACTGGTGGTGTCTGGGAGGGGAACGAGGGGCGCCTGTGCCGAGCCGTTCTGGGCGAGAGCGAGGCCTAGAGGGGACCGACGCGTGAGCAGGGAGCGCTCGCGCTGGGGAGCTTTTGAACGGCAGGCTGCTCGCCGAGAGCTCGCTCGGCGGCAGCGTGGCACGGGAAGAGCTGTGGCGAGGACGGGTTGCCTTGGAAATGTCCTCTTGATGCATTTGTAGGGATCGCCGCTGTGGGAAGCTCGTTTGTGAATATGCGGGTCGTAAGCCGTTTACTAAGGAAAAAGCTGCGGTCATTTACACCCGGGTGCGGCACTCGTTGTGCGTGACGTTAGACTACATGCAGCCGCCCACGCAGAGGGACCCAATGCTGGTGAACGACGGCACCGTCTGCGATGAGCACATGGTAAGCCCTCCTTAGGAACGCTGGTTTTGTCTCTGCGAT